AGGGAGTCGGAAGGCATGTCTTGTCAGACACCCCGAGGTCACCGTACCATCGTCTTGGACGTGCCGTTGCTCCTCAAGTTCCCGGTCCTGCGCCGCTTTTGCCTCTCTGCAGTCCTTGTGGTGCTGGTGTTGCTTGGGCGTGCAAAATAGATAACGTTTTTGGTCAGGTAGCCTTGCCGATGCAAAGCATTCGCATGTGTATGCAGCTTGCCGCCTGGGGTAGCTGCAGGAATCAGTGCGGAGGTAGGGATCCCGGTAGCGAGGTGTAAGCCGTGGGAACCGCCTCGTGTCGGGATGTGCAAACGATTTTGCGTAGAGCACCCAGGTCTCCGGAGACGCAGCTGACACGCCTGATGGCACGGAATGACCTCTCTGAGGATGAGGCTACACATATTTATGAAGAAGCCCGATCATCCGCCGTCTTCATCAGAAAGTTACTCGTTCAGGCATGAGATCTGGTTGAGCGCAGGCCCGACGAAAGATCGACTCGCAGCTCTCTGGGGAGGCCCAGCGCAAGCTGGCAGACTTCGTCATCGAGAATAACGGTGCCTCTCCAGAACAGAGGGTTGAGCGTGCTGTTGCTTTTGGGCAGCTGTCGGGTATCCCGCAATCCATGCAATCTGCACATCAGTTCAGTCCCAAGTTGCCTATGTTCAGCTTGATGTTTTGCATGTTCAAGGAAGTCTCGAGGAACTACGCCAAAGTGTAGCCGACCTCCAGCACCAGGCGGGAGCAGGATCTCTTTCCGATATTCGGTGCGATCTTTTTTTCGGAGGCGCCTCAAGGTTGGTCCGCAGCGTTGGTGGCAGAAGCCATCGCCGGAGCCGCCGCCCTCTGCGCTTTGGCGTCCCATGCAGCGACCCACGCGAGCCTCCTGCCGCGATCCTCCCTGTAACGCAAAAAATGAGCGAGTGGAGGCCGTGGCCGTTCTGCCAGGGGAGCGTGGTGGTTTCTTTGCAAAGCTCATCTTCCCAGGGCGTCTGTCTGGCACAGATGACCTTGAAAGATGGGGCGGAGGCCATACTGCCGTTCCTCTTGGCTTCTTCAAGCTCCCCAATTGCAAAGTGCCAGGCGGCTCTGCAAAATTTGCGACGCTTTGAAATCAAGGGCACGCAGGTTTCGCTTTGCCGGCACGCTTAGAGGTTTTTGAGTTTGAGCTTTGGCCATCGTTAGAGCAGCCATGCTTGCAGGGTGGACTGGAGCACCATGGCCAAAACGGAGATGGGTACCCAGCTTGGCTCTGGTGAGACGTCGGTGCGTCCTGTGCTGGCGTGCGGAGTCCGTGCTTCACAGGTCTCTGCAACAAGCGCCACCAGAAGCCGCCGGATGAGCCGCCTCCAAGGAGCGAGGGACGGCGGAGAGACAGACGGACGCGGACGCGGACTGGGCCGAAGGAGTCTCAAAGAAAGCACAGCGCAGGAGTCGGAAACTCAGACATATTTTGAAGCGGCGATGAGATGCTCTGATCAAATTGGCAGATCAATTGCAGAGAGGTTTGGCTTCCAAATGGGACAGGCTCAACCGGTAAACACTCTCAACAGCCAGAGTCTTTTCGTCAGTCGAATCTTGTCCATTTCAATGCAAGTCCACTGCCAGGCAGTGCTGATTTCGAACCTGAAAGGAGCACCTCAGGCCTGCGGCTGCACGGGCTTCAGCATGCTTCAGCTTTCACGGCTTTCGTGTCTCGCACCCCGCGGTGTCGTAGTTGGGCTCAGCTCGTGCCGCTGTGCAGTTCAACGGATGCACCGCTGCTGTGGTCGGCTTCCGCTCTGACCGCGTGGAAGTGGAAGTGGAGGCTGTCACTGCTCCTGCTATGAGCCGTGTCCCGGTCCCTGTGTCCTGCAGGCGGAGGGGACAAAGAAGACCCTGGCCTTGAAGCCCGATAATCTCAGTGCATCAACAGGCAAGGCGGCAGAGAGTGGTAATGCTGGCATGCTCTGCTGATCTGCCTCCCTGCCTCCACGCTGGAGCACGTCGGCACCTCAGGCCAGGCTGAGCCCCCGAAGGCGCAGGCGCAGGCCCGAGACCGGCTCGGAACTCTCACTGCTCTAAGCTTCTCGCTTTGCAGGGTGAGGCAGCCGAGCAGGCACCTGCCGAGAAGGCCTGTCTTGGCATTGGCATGGTCTGCATGCGGCATTCGGCGGCATCTGTGCGATGCTCCGAGTCGGCTGCCAATGTTCTCACCTTTGGCCGTGGAAAGGCTCCGGAGCCGCGACGCCGCCGTGGGAAGTGGGAGGAGCAGGGCCTTCAGCATCCATACGTATCCAACCTTTCCTCGTGGCAGTCTTCGAGAGTGTTAGAGCAGTCTGATGCAGTCGCACACCGGCGACATGTGACTCAGGAACAGCGGCGGTTTCGTCGTGAACCAAGCCAAGAAAGGTCGGAGACTTGAAAGGGGCACCCGTCCCAAAGATATGAGCTCTCGTGCGGAGGCCCAGCGTGCCCAAAGTTGCCGCCCCTGGCTGACTTGGAAGCAATGCCTGTCGGGGTGCCCAGATTATAAATCACATGCGTGTCATTGCCTGGACTAGTCAAGCCGGTGGTGGATTGTAAGGTGAAAGAGCTCAAGCAAGTGCTCGTGGCAGCCCCCCCGGGCACAGGATCAGACATCATGGAAGCTCCTGGTGCTACGCGCGCCGAGGCTCATGCCGTTGACATCACAGGCTGCTTGCATCTCAGAAGAACACCTCCGCGTTTTTGTGCCCCAAGCATTCGCGAGCCACCAAGGCCTGGAGAGAGCCGAATTTCTGGCCAAGGCCAGGGCTCGCGGGGGCCGAGCATCGCAGAGTGGCCTTAGCCCGAAGGCCAAAGAAGTGGCAGAACAAAGCGCCTAGTGACGCTTGGAGGACAAGTGCCGGGCTTTTGGAGCTACATGCTCCATATGCTGTGCACCTGTCGCTTCCAAGAGTCAGGATGGACGCTGCAGCGGCATCTGGAAGGTGTTTCACCATGCGTTGCAAATGCAGGATCCAACAATCTATCCTGGTACAGTCGACATCCCAAGCCGGTCCCACGCCCAATCAATGCCGAAAATTATCATAGGAATCATGGAGTGTCCAAGCAGCCACCAAGCAGTGCTCTGGAGGGTCCGGCGCCTACGAGCGAAACAAAAGTCGCAGTGTGTCTTGAGCCCTTGCGAACGTCTCAAAGGGTCGAGTCGCCCCGAGATGTTACAGGTTCATAGCGACAGGTGGATCTGTAGGTGGTTCAGCAGCCCTTGGAGCCCTGATGCATCGCCATGCAGGGTGCCGAAGCAGCTTCCGCGGTTTGGGCAAGTGCTGCATGGTGGCTAATGCTGATAGCTGTGAGCTTGGCGTGCTTTGTGCTGCTCCGGAAGGCATTCGTCGAAAAAGGTCTCGATGGCCCATGTGTAAAGCATGACATGAGAAGGCATTTTTCGTAGTAAAGGCTTCGTCCCATTGGGCGGATTCGGTACAGCAGCGTTAGATGTTTCTGATCCTGAAGGTTCTGCTTAGCAATCCTGTCGGGAGCATCCGGCATTGGTACGAAGCCAGCAGGTGGCAGAAAGGTCCCGGCAGAAAGCCTGCGGCCGTCGTTCCAGGCGGAGGAGGTGATGCATCCCCGTCGTGGGTGGACGACATGGTATGCGCTGAGCTGCAGGAACTTTATGCGGGCATGGTAAAGACCAGCTTCGTGTGTATTGTCGGACCCTTTTGCTTCCTCACCGTAATGCATTCGGTCCTCCGTGATGATAAATCCTTTCCCGATTTGCGCCTGGTCTTTGAGAAGCATTTCGGTTTCGCGCTTGCCTCTACGAAGTTGCAAGGAAGCTGACTGGTGATAAGTAGCTGAGGCACTTGAACTCTAATATGCTTCCACTCGTGGTGGCAAGTCTCCTGGCAGTCTGCAACCCCCCGGAATCTTCAGCTGCAACATAGAGTGAAGTGCGCCGAAGCATAAGCCAATGTGGCCTTTCAAGCATGTCGAAAACCGAGGCACGCAGAACGCGACTGGGACTCTGGCTTCTGCTCGCTTTGTGGTTTGCCTCGACGCTCGCCGTGACCCTGCAGCACATCGGTCTGTGAGACAAATTTCGAAGAGGGAGCTGAGTTGCCCAGGCACACCTGTTCCTCTCGGAATGGCACCTTCACGAACAAGTCTGGTTGAATCACATGTTCTTCGTCACGGTTGTCTCCGAAGTTCTACAGAAGCTTGGCAGCATATGTTTGAGAAGATTGCCTTTGAGCAAGGTCTGATCGTATCGATCCAGAGAGATCCGGTGTCCGATCGATCTTGGGTTGGAGAGTAGAGCTGAACATTTACTGGAGGATGCCACCGCTGGTGATCTGGGCCAACACCATTCTTCACTCTGCATTCTTTATAGCTTTGACTGTGGCCAATGACTATCCCAGCGATTCTCCATCACTCGAGCTGCAGCTGCTAATGGTGATTGTTAGAATTGCCTGTGGGAATCTCGGCTTGTATTGGCAGCCGTTCGCTCCGGCGGTCCGATTCTCTTCGGCGCCTGCAGGTGTCAGGGCGCTAGGCCTCCATTGAGCGTTGCCATAGCTTTGCCGTTTTGCCACTGCTAAGCTGCTAAGAGTTGATCTTGTAAAAGATGTAGGATGTTGCGAAGCCTGTGTGAAACTCGCAGCGGGCGGTTGCCCGGATAGTCCGACCGGTCGCTCAAGGCACTACACCCAGCTGGTGTCCAAGGCAGTTGAAGGCTGCACACGTGCGGACGTGCTGGCTCAGGCGCGTCCTGTTTCTTCTGGGGGCTTCATCCGAGCTTTCAAGTTTAAGGAGGGTAGCCTCCCGCCCTCTTCCGCTGAAGGACGCTTCGAAGCTGGCGGCCTTGAGTCGCTCTGCCGCTGAACAGGCGCTCTCTTTTTTTGTTGCCAAGAGCAGCGCAGCTTGTTGGACAGGCTCTCGTGGAAGCAGACGAGGAGGCCACTCGTGCTCGGACGGCCCAGGTGGAGTTGTCACTGGCAGAGGACGGAGACATCCTCTTTTTTTCGATTCTGAGACTTTTCTGAGTCGCGAACCGCATAGCGACATTGCACGCAGGCTGAGGCGAGGGCCGTTGAGTCTGTGTGAAGTGCGCAGCTCCACCTCCTGAAAGTCATGTGCGATGCCGTGATAGAGGTGGACGCCGACATGCGGATCATTGAGCCAGGAAAGCTGGGATTGATGCTCTACCAAAGCAGCCACCGCAACCTCGCTGGAACCAGGTTCGTGGACCTACTCAACCCGAAAGAAGTGGACCTTGGAGCTTTAAGTCACGGTCTAGTTTATGCTCTGTGGTAGTCGTACATCGTCGTGCACAGCAGGGTGTAGAATGCAGACTTATCGAAAGGATCGCTTCCAATGCTTCTGCCGAGACGAGCAGCTCCGGCTCTATCCACTACAAACCACTTTAACAGGCGCTTACAACATGGCGATCTCTGTCTCGATCTACTTAGCCACCTTGAGCCCGAGCGGAGCGAGTGGACGCGTGACGCATTTGCTGGGTGTGAACGAAATGCAGGAAGCGCAGCCGGCAAATGCGCGTCCGCATGCCGACACTGTTCTCAGTGGCCTTGGACCAGTGCCAGACGACGTGAGCTGCGACGACTCGGAGGAGGCAGGAATGCAAAGCCCCTGTCAAAGCGCTCATAGCTGTCACAGCGGCAATCAGAAGAGTCCGAGGGCTTCTGATTACCCGCTGAGACCAGAGCCACCGGCAGCATTTCGGCAATTCGAGCCGGAGGAGGAACTCCGAGCTTTGATGTCGTTCTTGTGGCAGTGGCCTCTGCCAGAGAGTGGCAAAGGACTATCACGGTCTCATTGTTGCCAGACGCACCAAACCCTGGATCGCGCTCGGGACGCCTTGCGATACTTGCAGAAGCTGGACTGCCAGGACGTGCCAGCCTGCCTTGGCTGGCAGTGCCCTGCCTGCGTCCTGGACGCACGAAGCCTTTCCCGAGCAATCCTCGTGTATCTGCAATACGTGATCCACAATGCAGTGCATTTTTGCGACTTCGAGTGTTACCGGCCCGAGCTATGTTGTTGCGATCTCGTTTCGCTGCGCGACTGCTGCAACTGGACAACATTGCACAGTACTGACTAGAAGCCCGCTGCACAGTTTTTTGTTGTCCGACCGCAGGGGTTCGCTCAGCCAAAACAAACATCATGTTGGCGATCGCGGGGCGAACGAAACATGTCGGCGTTCGCGTAGCACGAACTAAGTCCGAGGCAATACGTTACAACTTCGGCGATTGTGGGACGAAAAGCCAAATGTGCAGCACAAAGTTTGGGTGAAGTATTTTGCAAGGCGACCTTTGGTTGTTGTGCAAAGCTCGAACTTGCGAGGATCTTCAAGCCAGTTTTTCGGCAAGCCGCAGCGGCTCGAATTTGCAGGTTCTGTTGTTGCAGCTGTCGCTGCATTCCGATTTCAACCGCGCTGTTTGGCAGCAAACTACTGTAGAACTCACATCGAGCTAAATTTCAGGTGTGTTGGCTATTGGGGAATGAAGGCCGAGTCAATTCTGTGTGGTTTTGTTGTTGTCAGTCCAGTCCATCTCAAGACCAGGAGACCAGGGCCGTTTTCTTCAGGGCCTCGCCGGGGTGTCTTCTTTTGCTTTGTGAGCGCCCCAGGCGCTCATTCAATAAGGACCGACGTACCCAGGGCTGTTTTAACGTTTTGTTGCGCAGCACGGGAAGAGCAAGCCATCGATCGCGCAGCAACAGCACACCACACCATCGGCTCGCGCAAATACCTCGGCTCGAAAATTCCAAGCAGCTAACTGCAATAAAGAGCAGTTCCGAGTTCAGTGTGGGATCCATGTGCCTTCAGCTTTCCAGTCTGCCCACCTTACAGATGCTGCCTGGCGGCACAAGCTCTCTTTGTGAGCTTTCTGGTCCGAGGCAAGCTGAAGGGCACGGAAAGCGACCGACGACGATTTGACGAAGAGTCCTGGTGCTGCGGTCGCTGTGCCAACTGGGAAGATTTGTATTTATAAGACGATCTTGCCTCCGATCTTCACGGTCCCGGTGATATCTGAATTGAAATAAAGGTGGCGGTGCCTCGCTGCAAAGTGCAGGGCTGATGCTTAGTGCTGGATGGCTCCAGGTCTCCAGTCGATGCCTCACCGAAGGTGAGAGCTTGCGGACAATCCCCGTAGCTCAGCACTCTTTTTGAGGCCACGAAGCCACGCATTCACACCGTACATGCTTCTAAGCGGGTGCAGGACAGAAAACTCATTTCCCGCGGTTGCTTTCTAGCTCCGTCGCGTTTGTTTTCTTCAACTCGAGTTGAGATGGACCGCTGATACTTCATACTGTGAGCTTCGGCTCAAGCTTGAGCCTTGGCATCACGGCAAGTCAGGTCTCTCTGTCCCCCGACGCCCGAACTGAACCGCGATCGGGCCATGCTGTAAGTGTCGGCTTGCACGGCGACCTCTGAGGCGGACTGCGGAGCTCGGGGGTGGGGGTGGTGGGCCTGCTTTCGCTCCAGTCTTTTTTGTGTGCTGTCGGTGTTCAGCTTTGCAGGCAGATGGCAAACTGGTGTCTTGGACGCATGTCGTTTGAATCCACCTTGCATGCAAAACATCGATGTGGCGAGTTCATTTGCTTGTGCCCGAAGTGTCTGCGAGGTACGGCAGCACAGAGCCCGTGGGTAAAGCGCAGCAGTCAGGCCATGCTTCGGTCTTGTTCTGGAAGTGCCCACCTGAAGCGAATGGAGTAGTGTCGGCTAAAAGGATGGTGGCGTGCCTTCGCATCCGGGTGCAGCAACTTTTCTATCCAGCGCCTTGGTTCATGTGGTGCAACCTGATGCCATGCTTGCACCGCGCAACCAGCGGGCAGCTCCTTCATCAGGTCATGCGCTTGAGGGATCGACATTGCACACAAAAAAGTTTGAACTCTGGTGTGAGCTCAGCTGAGGTACAATTACCAATGTGACAGCCTCGGCTATGATGTGAGTTGTGGTGCAGGAATTCGTTGTTGGTGAGAGGTGCAAGCATTGCCCTGGCGGTGATGTCTACCCACAATGACCTCTATGTGCAAGATCCACTGGCAGCAGCTCGACATGGGAGAAGCACAAGCGTGGCGAATGAAAAACCAGTGCATGAGGCGGACTATCCGCGGCCTCCCTGGGTCTCTCGCTCTCTGCTGGCCTTGGTCTTCGTGGGCTCCATGGCAGGCTCGAAAGGGCGAGTCGCGAGGTAGCCTGCAGATGCGCCGCTGCCGTAGCTGCTGGCCGCGAGGCATGATGTGCTTCGGATACCTGGGAGATCTCCTCGGTCACCGGCGAGCTCTCCAGGGGACCAAGGCGCCTGTTCTTACACGGTGCATGTCGCTGAAGCACCCACGGGCCCACGGGCATGGCATGGCATGAGTGACTTGGGAGGGCCTTGTCGTGCTGGGTGCTTTGCTGTACCTTGGAGTGCAGTCACAAGCTAGGCTCGAGACAGCAATTGCCTGAGCTGAGCCTGGATCTGGTACCTAGGTGTTCCATGCTGCCGGAAGATTCTGGAGATGAGTTCTGGCATAGACTGGCCATTGGTCGACTCTTGGTGGGGGTGGGTCTGGGCCTCGGAAAGTGGCTGGGCCTAAGTGGTCTCTGGTCCGCACAGCGAACTCTGGATCACAAGGGTAAGGGTGGAACTGACCACCGAGGCCTTGGGGGAGCCTACCCCCTGAGCGCAGCTTGTGCGGGTGCCTCTGGTACTTCGTCGGAGGTGGGTCAGGTGGGCACTGAGTCGCTGGTCACTGGGACCACTGGGACCACTAGGACCACTAGAACCACTAGGACCAAAGTAGGGTCACTAATGTGAGATAAACCTCCCTCCCCTTGAGTGGGGCAGGGTTTGGGTGGGGGGGGGGGGGTGGTAAAAATAAATTTGTTGGTGTCTGGGGTTCGTAGTAGCAGCAGTGTTAAGGCCTCAAGAATTGCTGCAGTTCCTGGAATCCGGAGTCCCTGGCTTCAGGGCAAAGCCTGCGCCCGTCGAAAAGCAAAGCCTCTGTCTCGAGGCCCATTGGCTGTTCCTTTCTAAATAGTCTTCTGAAGAAAGCCTTGCTTCCGGGACCCCCCACCCGGCGGGAGTTTATTATTGTCACACCATTCATTATTGCGATCCGCAGCGCTCATAGGGATACCCTTGCCGGCTTTGTGAAATGGCTCCGTTTATATAAAATTTTAACAAAAGGCATAGGCGCCTGTCTTGAGGGTCCTGTTAGTCGGAGCTTTTGTTAGTTTCTCAACCTGGCACCTACTTTTTTTGGGGATTTTTGGCCGGGAGATTTTTTTATTACCACCCCATTTATTAAATACTCTCAACCTCTAAGACCAATTGTTTTGGCCATTTTGGGCTTGGATTCCTACGCAATTGAAACTCAAGTAGCGCCGGAAATTCCTGGGCTGGGAGGTTTTTTTATTTCCACCCAGTTCATTGAATCCAATTTAACATTAGGCACAAGGTGAAGGCGGTTGCTTGGCCGGGACCGAGAGGCGTTCTTCTGGCAGACGCCCGGTGGCGTAGCCCCGTACCTTGTCACGCTCCTCCTGCTGCACGTCCTGCCTGGAGCCACCTCCTGGCAGTTTCTCGGCTCATCTCGGCTCCGCTTTGAAATGCGTCTATAGGTGCTCATGGGTGGAGGAAGGAACGTGCTGAGGTTCCGGCTGGTGCTCGGTTTGGGGGCTCTGCCGGCCTTCCTGGCCCTTGCTGCCTCCTGGCGGGAGGTAGCTCCAAGGGCTTTCCGGGTCGGTTTGCCCGCTCGAGATCTGGTCAGCCTGGTCAGGAGTCAGCACCTCCAGTGCATGCAGGAGGAGACCTCCGCCAGGTGCGACCATAAGCTTTTGCAAGCCACTGAAGCTCCTGCAAAAGCTGCATAGGGTTACATCGCAAAGACAGGCGCTGCAGAGCCACCAACGAACACTTGTTGGCACTGCTGGGACCTGGTTCCTATTTGATGTCGCTGCTTACGGCCGCTGGGCGACAAAGTGATTGTGCCAACGTCATCCTACGTCGCAGAGACTCCATTTCGCTTGAACACAAGCCGCCTTCAGCAAAGCTTCGTTGACACACATCTCACCATCCAGCTCTTTGTTCTGTGCGTGTGTGGCAGCTTCTGCATAACGATGCCTTCAATCCGTAGTCACTGTCAGTATGATGTATTTATAGCCGCCAAACACTCTGCCCCAGGCACCGTCATCTTCACCCCTCGCATCCTCAATCATGTCTTCGGTGAAAGCCAGTCGCTCACGCAGTTGGCTCTCCATTCTGTCATGATGCCTCGTGCTTGCACTTGAAAAGGAGGGTCATTTCTAGCAGTTTTTGTGCCTTGGACTCCATGTAAGGGTACCGATCACTGCGTTTGAACTTACTGAGGCTTTCTTTTGCCATCCCGGCCACTTTCCTTGCGGTTGCAGTGCTGCCTCGCGTGGGCGCCCCTTGGCCAAGCTTCTAGCGCTTGCTTTCCCTCACCTTAAAACAGACCCTTTGCTGAGGCACGGACGCTGAATGCACTGGGGCTGGCCTGCCAAGCTGCAAGAAGGAGAGAGAAGAACAGCAAACGGAGAAAAGAGAGGCCAGACCAAAACAGTTAGTTGATTCCACGGCAGCAGCTACATGTCTGGCATCCCGTCCAAGCCTCCACATCGGCTAGAAGCCTTATCCACGCAAGGCACGAAATTATTGCCTCATTTACATCGTCCTTAACTAACCTCGTCTCGGAAGTCTCACTGGTCTTTTTTTGCTTTGTGACCCTTCCTGGTGCTGTGGGCAAGTGCCGCTTGCAAATAGTGGTTGGGGGCCATGAGCGTGAAGATAAGAAAACCTTGGCCCGTTTGGACAAGTTTGCATTTTGCCATTGCTCGCTTCATGGCCCGTTTCGGAGCCTGAAAACCAAGGAGGAGAAGGGAGTGAGTGGCTGTCAGTAGCACCAAACATGAAGTGGGACAGGCTCGTGAGATGGTGGTCACATATGTTCTCATCACTCAGGGCATGTTTTTTTTTTTCTGGCTCGCCACGAACCCTCAAGATCGCAATGCCACACTTGCTTGGCTCCACTTGGCTCATTGGAGCTTCAAAGCAGCCTTTAATCCAGGGTGACCAAGCGTAGAAACAGAAGTGAAACGAGGGGACAGGACACTTGGCCAAGTGTGGAGAGGAGAGCTTTCAAAGCCAGAGTGTGCGGAGAACACTTGCTGGATCCTGAGGCCATGATCTCCGTCTGCTTTGCGGTTTTTGCGGCCGTGTCGGCTGTGTTTCCAGATGCGCACAAGGCTCCGCCTAAGCCCTTCCCTGCTGTGTCAGCTTGTGACTTTGCTTCTAGCACGGTAGGTGCCGGTGCCAGGTCCTTTTCGCTGTTCTTTGTGCTCTGTACTTTGGCCTGTGGCCCAGCTTCTGCTCGGCGAAGCATACGTAGTACACGTTCTTCATCGACGCTTCGGTAGGCCTGAATTTTGGGCCCAGCGTCGCCACCTTCGTGCTTCCGGTGGAGCTAGCGCCTCCGGAGCCACCTGGCGTCCGAAGCGAAGTCCGTGCCTGCGTGCTATAGGGGTTTATGGCTCTTCGAAGCTTCGCACAGTTCGCACGTCGTGGGTGGCCTGGGAGCTTCGTCTGCGGCGACCGGTGCATCTGAGGTTGCGCAGCACCTTCCACGGCCTCTCGGCCGCTGCTGGGAAGAGCGGAGCACTCGCCAGCACCCCGAAAGCGCCCCACGTTGCCTGCATGTTGCCTGCATGTTGCCTGCGGCTGGAGGTCGGAGCTCTACTTTTCCCGCTGCTGGACGAGACCTACGGGGTCTTGGCCTGACTGACAAAGCTTGCAGCTTCCTTCAAAGCTCGAGTCTCAGGTGCCTGCAGTGATGCTGGCGCAGGCATCTTGAATCATCTTGCAGCATTCCAGGGGCTCAGAGCATGTCGTGCGATCACACGTGGAATCTTCTGAAGAACTTCCCTCTGAAGGCATTTGTTTGCGCCTTCGGTGCTCTTCTGAGTCATGTCTGCCTGGGTGAGAGTTGGTCGTCACAGGAGGCACAATGAACTGCTGGAGCTTGGCCGAAACGGCCTTCAGTGCTCCGGCTTCCTCAAGCTTGCAAGGGTACTTCATGTTGCATGGAGTGAAAAGCCAACAGCAGCAAACTGACTGCAAGCTTCAACAAGCCACAGCGGCTACGTGAACCTTTTGAAAAGGCAGTACTTTCCCGAAGTCAGAGGCTTTAGGACTTTTCAGGAGCCGCGTTGAATTCCAGAGCGAGCTTGGAGTTTGAAATGTCGAGAGCCAGCATGGCAAGGGACGCCCAATCTGACATCTCCCTGGGGAATCATTCCGGGGTTGCTGTGACCACTCGTGGGCATGTTTCCGGCTCAAAGATGTTGTGCAGGGCTGGATAGTATCTGGAAGGAGTGTAGGCCGCCGCTGCAGAACTCTTGGAGGTGCGCGATCTTTCCTCACGGCAGCAACTGACTACAGAAGTGATGCAGATGGTGGTAGCATCACCCACTCACAAGCAGAGCCGTGCTCACGACTCCAGTTTGATACCTCAGGTACACACGCGGAATTCAAGACACTGGCACCCTTGGTGGTCTTTCGCCTGGCCATACTCGATGGCAGCGCAGGCTCATCCGGGTGCTCTGCTTTTTTGGGGTTGTGCAATCCTGCGTGTAAAGGTATACCAGTGTACAACAGTCGCAGGAGACAGGAGTACAGGTGTCTTTGTCCTGACATGACCTCGTGCTCAGGCCCCTCATGTGGAAGCCCCGAACTCCACCCAAATGCTGAACTGCCGAACCTGTTGCGCACAGCAGGCGTCGGCGCCTAGCACGTCGGCGACCAGTGCGGTCAAGGTGGTCCGATTTGCACTCGGCACATTCACCTTGAAACGGCACTGCGACCAACAAGGTGATATCAAAGACATGGGCCAGAGACTCTCATGACCTCTTCGACTTTGAGGCACATCAGCTGTGCATGCCTCAGACTGTCGGCATTGCAGGGGTTGCACATGGAGAGTTTGATTTACGCCACTGGCGGGACATCCGAGGCATACGCAGACGTTTTCGGTGCCGAAGTCCACGGTGTGCATGCGCAATGGCACAGAGGCACAGAACATATAACTCGAACGCAAAGAGGGAAGCGGAAGCCCGAAGACGGACTCGTGCAGGTGCAGATGGTCGGGGAGCGGGATGCGCCGCCGGCAGGAGGAGATCCTCTCCTGCGCCTCGTGCAGCGGGATGGGACCTTCTGGGCTCCCGCCTTTGATCGCGTGTCATCCTATCCGCCTGATGGCATATCCCCCAACCTCAACCCTGCAAGAGTCGTGCTTCATGGGATTTTCCACTGCTGCCCTTTGTCGAAGGCCCTAGGACGTATACTCAAAGTTTCAGTTTGTGCTCCGCGAGCCTTCGTCCAGTCGCATGCCAAATGGCGTGTTGAGCCATGTGGACCAGGTGACTCTTGGTGTTTCGTCAATGCCATGGAGATCCGTGCACACAAGAGACTTTTGCCAAGCCTGGCATGAGGACATCCTTGCACGGAGGCCGCGCGGCCCTCGATTATCCTCATTTCTGGGACGTTCGGAGACGAGCTTCGATGCGCTGACGATCGATACAGCCGTGCTTCCCTCAGAGAAGATGCTAGACATTCGAAAAGCCTGCAAGTTGAATGTTGCCGATCCACTTGATCCCGCGGGTCCGGCCAAGATCTTTCGAGACAACCTCGAGACAGGAGCACAGTGCGCGGAGAAAATTGGTAGCAACCTTTTCACGGGCTCCCTCGGAGAGAGCTCAGGCACCAAATTTAAGGGCGAATTGCCCGTGGAGTTGGGAGGGCAAGTGCGAGAAGACGTGGAAGCCATCCAGGACACATGTCACGACTTCGCGTCCCTTCTTCTTCATCGGCTGTCGCGCAAGGAAAACAAGTCCTTGAACAAGGTGGACGCTGTCCGTGTGTTGAAATCCTTTGGCCGATGCCTGGAATCCATGGGGCAGGGAACCACGCTGCTTGGTTGCCAGACGGGCGGCGCTGAGGGAGAAGATGAAGCAACGTGCGAAAAGGAGGAGGGAGAAGAGCCAGGCCAATCCTCCTGGTTCTAGTGATTCTAGGACTTTAGTGCGCTGGCCTTCGAGGTTGGTTATTTCACCCAGAAGGGCATGATTCGCTAGCTAGCGCAGTGTCACTGCCCACTCGTGTTGCATAGTCTTGGGCTTTCGAGCAACATTGGCCAACGTGTCCCATGCTGCCTGCCTCGCGACGAAAAGGGTCTGCAGATTTATGTTGCTAGCTTCGCAGATCATGTGAAGGCGCTGCAGTGGCCGTTGTCTCATTGCAATACTGACCTGAGGTTGACAAGGTCCAGCCGCAGGGTGCCCCAGCAGAGGTACGAGTTCGGGACAGCACAGGTGGCTGCGAATCCATCCAGCATCACTTCTGCCAAGCTCCTTTTTGTTTGGGATGCTTCGATGGGCTCGATGTGTGATGGCGGGACGGAGCTCCTCTTCGGCCCCTAGAATTGGTCCAGCATTGTCCAGCAGCAGGCGTTTGCGATCGAATAGGAGGATAGCTCCGGCTTCAGAAGTTGTTGTAGCAGCAAGTGCCTCGGAGGAGGGGAAGGCTGGAAGGGAGGGTGCAGGACAGAGAAAGGGGTAACTCACGGGTGCCTCGTAGCCGCCCTGCCTGTGTTCCCTTCGTCAATATCGGCCCGCTTCCCGCTGCCTTGACATCTTCGTAAAAAAGACTGCATAAGACTCACAACATGCTTACCTGATCCTCTGTTGTTATGTGCACCTACGCCAAATAACGTCTTCACGAGAACCGGCAAAGCAGCTCTCTTCATGCTCAGGTCCAGCAACTCCAAGAAGCTGTGGCTTGTAGTGCTACCGAGTTGCATTGGAACTGAAGGGTTGTGATCTTCATAGGCCGGCTTCCATGGTGCTCAATGCTGCTATCCGTTTCCGAGGAGAGATCTGGTATCCAGCAGCCATCGGCTGCAGGAGGGTGATGCCAGGACCTTTCAGTGCCTCAGACATGCCGACCAGTCCTACTTGGCGTTCCCAATTCGAACAGTTGCGTAGCCATTTTATGCAACTTGCAATATCTGGCAAACGCTTATAATACCGGCCTGGTAGCTGCCAGACAGCATCCAGGCACGCAGATCAAATCAGTAGGATGCACAGATGCCTGAGGTCATCAAGCTGGGACGCTTCAAATTCCGCGTTCGTCAGCTGGTGGCATCCACCTACGGTGGCATGCAGCCAGAACTTAGGCACGGACCTCAGGTTTTGCTCCAAGCCCAGGAAGGACGTACAGGTTCATTAGACAACTATCCGGAATTGTGAAAGCTGGGACTAGAAAAGTGCGCGACGAAGCCCTGGGAGCCCAGCTTCTCATCGGCTCAAGACGATACCGAGGGCCTCGACTGCGGTGCAAACTCCAACACAGACTATCGAAATTCAAAGTAAAATTTGCCGAACTACCGACATCAGACAAGCCTGCTCGCTTTTGCAGCAAAGCATTGCCATGTTACGTGGCCGCGCGCCAGTGCTGGCTGCGCTGGCCGCCGTCTGGTCGCTTGGTGCAGACTTGTTTCGCTTGTGTTGTCTATCCAAGTCTGTCGGTCGTTGGCTTCCCCGGGCTTCCAAGGACAAGCTCTTCCAGTCGATGTGCAACGTCCTCAGCTAGAGCTCGGGGTGGAGCGCTGCATGTGAGGGATGGAGAGACAGGGAGAGATCCTTGGCCGGACCTTCAGGCCCTAGGGAAAGAAGAGAGAGAGCGAGATCCATATCTTCTTTACGAAGTTCTCTGCTCTGGCCCAGTCACCGGGGAACCACATCTTTTGCAGAAAGTCTTCTCACTCCCTCTTACAAAGCCTCTAAACAGGAGTGCGCCTTTCGACACGAGGGCTCCTATGCTCGGAAGACAAGACAAGATAAGAGAGAGAGAGAGAGAGAGAGAAAATCTGGTAGAGTCGCTGAACGAGGGGGCCAGTACGACAACAGAGACTTGTGTGCAGCATGGTTGTTGTGTACTTAGTTCTCCGAAGTTGTCTTTCCACAGTTTGTCGCTGACTGGCACACCCCTGCAACCCCTACAGAGTGGAGCTTTGTGTGGGGACGTCGTAGAAGGCAGTGTGGAGGACCCAGGAAAGCACAGAGTGGGGATGTTACTACGCGGTCACGGTCTTAGCAGGAGTGTTCGTTGGGGGAGGGTTGACTGTGCTTGCCTGGAGGGAACACACTTGCAACACTCCAAAACGGGGTAGCCAGCAGACACAGTTGCGGACCGAGGAGGGGTTGGCCTTCGGGCCGGGGGTCTTGACCCCAAACCCCCAGCAAGCAAGCAAGCAAGAGAGAAAACGTTGGGGTGGGCATTTTTGCCCGGGGACTTTGACCGGTCCCCATGCCCGAAAGAGAGAGAGAGAGAGAGAGAGAGAGAGAGAGAGAGAGAGAGAATAGGGGGCGTGTGGAAGAAGAGCGAGAGAGAGAGGCAGAGAGAATTTTGGCTCAAGTCTGCAGCCGCATTTCTCAAATTTGGGAGACATGCTAGCTTTCCCGGGCGAGGTCGATCTGCCCAACGGTGCCCTGCGCGTGAGCCAGTGGAAGCTGCTTGAAGGAGGGTTACCGCGCGGGCTACCGCGCCGGCCTGCAGGACAGGCAGCCGCAGCCTGCAGTCACACACCCGCCCTCGCATTCTGCCGAGGTGTGGCTGGCGCTGTTGGTGCTGCTGGCAGCCTTCTGCTTCGTGGCTTTCAAGTTGTGGTCCTTCAAGAGAAGAGACCAGGATGATGTGGAGATGCACATGCTGAACATCTCTGAGGAGGTCCTCATGGAGGAGGGCGTCGCGTCGCGTCCGTCAACTCCGGGCCATCTTCAGCTGCGGAGGACAGTGAGTTCCGGCGGCGACCGAGGAGGGATCTCCGCCGAGGAGGGCGGAAGACTTGGTCGGCCTCAAACCCGTGGAGATCTGGATCGCCATGCATGGAACTGTTTCTTCCTTCACAAGGTGGGGCCGTTCGACCACGCCTCCGTGCCAGAATGGCGCCACTTGGCGGAAGCGGTGTTCTCTGCGTGGCAGGATTGGCCGCACCTCCAGACACGGCCATCCTTGAGAGCGAGGGTGACGAGTGCGCGTGCCTCCGACCGGTGGCGCCGCATCTGCAGGAAGCTGCAAGAGATGAAGCTCAGCCACGCTTCGCGGATCACACCCAGGATATGCACCGCCTTCGTGTGCGTCGGAGTGGCCGAGCTGGGCTGCCCCATCGGCAAGCTTGTGGCTCTTGCCCTCTGCTCCTGGCTGGAAAAGCGCGCGTACGCCACCGCTGAGGACTTTGGTGCAAAGCCCAGCATGGAGGTCGACCCGACCAAGGGTTGCCAAGTGATCCGCAAAGATTCGGACGACGCGTCGGAGGTCGACGGGTGGCTGCAACACCTGGACGAGGTCTTTCGCGTAGACCTCGTCCAGGCGAAGGCCTTCTGGGCGTGGGTGATGAAATCAAGCAGGCGTGAAGAATCCTGAGCAGATCGCCCTGCAGGCGTGAGAGATCCTGCACAGATCGCCTAATGTGTACTTCGGGGGCAGCTCGGGCCTAGGTGCAGCTCGGACTTGGGCGGTTGCAGCCGAACAAAGTTTGCATCCATTGTGCTTTCCTTCAGCTTCAGGGTCCGTGGCCTCGCTGTGAGTCAGTAATTTTTATTTCTGATCCAGAGCTCTGACCTGGGGCACCAAGCGTGTTGTGTGTGGTCTTGCGATTATACTTCTCCCGGCTGGTTTTCGAACTTGTGTGCCTCACCAGTTGCCCTAGAAAACGCCGGGCTACAGCGGGGAACCAACTTGTTTTTTGTAACTTAACATGTCTTGACAACCTACCTGCCCCCACTGTGGCACCCGCAGAAGTCCTTGCACAGAGACCTTCCGTCTGTCAACAGGATGGACGGGGTTGCGCGTGGGAGCGTGGGGGGTGAGACTGCCACCTCCTCTTACCCCAAGCAAAGCAAAGCAAAGGAGAGTGCGAGAGAGAGAAAGAGAGAGAGGCGGACGGACGGACTAAGCACCTTGCCTCCGTTCGTCCGCACCAAAAAAGGGTGCGCGACAGCGCAGGAAAGGCAGGGAGACCTCGCCCTCAGGCCGTGTTGTTGGCCGCATGGTCAGGATAGGGGGCAGGTTGGGCAGCTGCGACAAGCAAAGCTTGTGCCTTAGGAGGCTTCAGGGGGTCGTCCGCGAAGGCGGGGTTTCAAGTTAGTGCACCGCAGCGGGAGAGGAGCATGTGACCCTAGCTGTTCGCGGTCCTCCACCGACCTCTGTTGCGTGAACTGGCTTCATGCCGACTGGGGGCTCTTGTCAGGCGAATAGCCTCGCACCGGACCTGCGGTTGCGCGCATGCATGCGAGAGTTCCCAGCGAAGGGGGCCTCCAAGGCCAGTCAGAAGTCGACGAGCCTGCAGATACCAGAACGAACCCACCAGTGTGCGTCCGCACACGGGTGGAGCGACCCGCCCTTCTTGTTTGTGCTGAAGAAGAGCTTGTAAAGGGGCGCGCCTCTTTGACCCGATGAAAGAAAGAAAGCATGAGGAGGCAAGAGAAGACAGGTGACAAAATAGTTGACGCAGGCAGGTCAGTCTAGCAAAACGTGCTTTTCACAAGACAGGTCTCGACTTGGGCAGCCCCTCACACCGTCTTTGGGTCGCGGCTTCGAGGACCAAAGCAGGTTGGGGGTTTTGTGCTCCAGTGTGTGGAAGTGGACACGGTGGCAATTTGCTCTTGTATCCTCCGAGCTGCCAGCTCCCCGTCGGCTTGCGCTACTGGCCCAATTTCATCACGGAGGCAGAGGAGGCGGAATTGATCCAGGCTGTGGATGGTTCAGGCTCGCGGCCCAAGATTTGTAATTGTCACGTCTTTGGCACAGACATGCATTGGGAGCCAAAGCACTTGTCAAAAAACGTTTCCCAAGATAAATTCCCGAAAGAGATCCCAGACTGTTTTACTCTCAAATGCCTTACTTGGCTCGTTTTGAGGGGGATTTTGTGCCGTGCTTTGCACTTTGTGGTGCGTGTGGGGGCATCTTCAAGCTGTCTGCTAGGAGCGGCCTGGTTGCGGAAGATCCGCCGCGCGCAGCAATTCTTTGGACTGTGCGGAGCTGAGCCCGGCGAGCGACGATGGTAACCAGTCTTCCGGAAGCTCAGGGTTTACTACCAGACATCCCAATCCGTGCCGGAGTTGCAGCCGACAGCCCAAAGTTCTGCCAAGCAGCAGCGTGGTCGAGACCTCGAGGCACCTGTCCAAGCCGCAAGAAGGAAGGATTTTTGGGGTTTCAGCCTTCGAGGAGCTACCTAGCTGGCTGATACCACGTCTCAGGCTTGGGCGGCTTGGGCATGCAGTTGTTGCAATTCCCAGTCAGGCCTGTACTCGCTCTGCTCACTGTGCCGGTTTGGAGGTCGTCCGGACTGTTTTCCGAGCCTGGTCGAGGCAGCGGTCACTTCTCGAAGGAACCAGGTTCGTCAATAGCGCCCGGCAGGCATCAACCAAGTACAGGCAAACGAGTACCTGGAGGATAGCGGCATCGGAGCCCATGTTGAGGAGCCAGTGGGTTGATATGCAGAAGCTTTAGAGAGGCTGGTATGACAAGAGTTTCAGGATCCGGCTGCCGGAGAAACATTGGTGACACTGTCCCTGCTGCGACCAGTGCGCCCCAAAGTTTGGCATTGACGGCTCCGGGCATCAGTGGGTATGGACCTAGTAGTTGCTTCTTGCAGAGAGAGCCGTGCCTCGCATCTCGGTCAGCCTTCGTGACATTTGCTGCAGAACCTTGTCAGGTGCTTCTGAACGTGCAGATTAGCCTGAGCCAGGTACAGCTGACTCTCCAGAGGGCGGAGGAAGGTCGTCCTGTCCATCGCGACAAACGAGATCCGGAGGACTCCTCGAAAGAGGATTCGGATTCCACGCCGTTTGAGCCATACTCCAAGATGACGGGCAGACACGCGAAATTCCTCGGATGGCACCTACGTTTTCAGCTGGAAGCTTGAGCTCTTCCAGGCACCTAGAAGGAAGTTGAACTCAAGCGCCCTGCGATGTCCAGCCGCAGGACTGCATCAAGGTGCTCCTCGAGCCTAGAAGTCTTTTCCTGCTGGAAGGGGAGAGCCGTCATGATTTTACCCACGCAATCCGCCAGTCGCCTTTTGGATGCAGCTAAAGGCCGCTAGGGCCGCTAGGATGGAAAGCCGTGGATTTTGGCCGGAGGAGACGAGTGCCTCTACGCGACGGCAGTGTTGTCATCCGAGACGGGAGCTTCCGAAGGGTCTCTTTGACTTTTCGAGGCTTCCGAAGGGCCAAGTCTGAGTGGTCAGTGTCCAGGGGCAACGAAGCAGGCCCTTGGCCTTGTGCGCAGGCATTGTCGAAGACAAGCGGAGCTCAACTCGCTCGGACATGCCAACTGGCTATGAGACTTACGTCGTGCCGAAGGAAATCCTGCGGAGCCAGAGCGCAAGATGAAAATGTGGTGTTCCAGTGCAGAAGTGCGACGACTTAGCATACACTAGCTCAAACTGGAGATGCTCGCCCGCTGGCTTGATTCATCGCCGCGGTCATTTTGCAGCTTTCTCTCTCTCTGTCTCACCTGTACCCTGCGAACCGCATGATGATTCGACGCATCAAGATGCCGCATGTAAACCGCCATCAACACCTGAAACATTCGGCTGCATAGCCAGCTATACATGAGGCTGCGAAGGAGATAGTGCGGCGTGTCGAATCGTCTGGCGTGTTCAGTCTCCCGGACTCTTCCTGCATCGCAAAACCCGCAAAGAGCCATGTCGTTCTTGGAGCCTCGCCTTGCGCCCTTGCCCTCAATCTGGATCTCAAGCGATGACGACCTATCGGAGAGGCGGAGTAGGAGTCAGACGCTTCACGAACCACTTGCAGATGTGTGGCTCGACAGGAAGGCAGCCCTGCGACGCTGCGCTTCATTCCCAGGCCCTTTCCATGTGATTGCTTGGAGTTAGACTTTGGCACATAACTGCACCACTCAGTTCGTCGCCCGTCTTGCAGACTCTGTGGAGGCTACATTCCGTTTGCCCTGCAGTCGCACAAAGACCAGGTGATCTGCAGTCCTTGCAGCCCAATTCGGCGTTCTTGGCATACGTATTGCATGGCATTTTGTGCCCAGTGGAACAGGCTGGGCTGACCGTGACCTCGCGTCGGGAGAGAGAGGAATTGGGCGACTGCTCCATTGACGACAACTTGACACAGGCCTGCCATGTGTTCAAGTTGTAAAGGTGTGATGGATGCCGCTGCCGCTAAGGATCCCTCACAGTCCTTGACCTCAGGGAGTAACTATCAGATAGCTCCCTAATCCTGAAGGATCCGTTGGAAGACTCGGAATGGCAAACGATGCTACCTCCAATCGATGCCTGGACTGTAAATTATGTTTTCGACAACCTTCTGGTTTGGAGTCTGGGTTGTCGGCATTCCATGAATCCATGAGGTCCTGATGAACACCTGTTGATGTGAGTACCGCCTGTAGCCACAAGTCTTGCCCAGTTGCAATACGATGCAGTTGCCTGTTGTGCACTGTCGGCATGCTCATGCTGCTCATGGTCTTCCATTTTTCCATTTCGCAACGCCAACCCCCCAACATCCAGCTTTGCGACCCTTCTTACTCACCAAGGATGCGTCGGAGGACTCGGAGGCGCAACAAGCCCTTGAGAATAACTTGTGTGAAGTTTGTGCCACAACTGCTGCTACTAGTGAATCTGGGGAATGCCTTGTCGCCGTGCAGGATGTGAACGTGTGGCCTGACACGGATACGGAGGATGATTTCGAAGAACGACGAAATCTGCAAGCACCGCTTTCAGAGGCGAAGGCGAGTTTGCAGATAAGAAGCTTAAAACGCGACAAGTGTCTGCGTTGCATTGGAGCTTCTCGACTATTGCTGACAACAGAGCAATGCTGGGAGGATTCTGCACAGCCGACGCATGGATGGACAGACAAAGGCAATCCGGGTTCTTTGCAGGCCGGGCAACCGGTGAGCGGGGACAATTTGAGCATCTTTCATTTCTGCTGTCATCTGTGCTCTCCGGGTGCGTTTTGCCAGGCATCCCTGACAGTGTTTACCGGATGGAGCGACCCAGTGTGGTGCAAGGACTGGTTTTGATGCACGACGCTGTGTATGCTTGTGCTGATATGTAAGAGAATCAGACGTGCTCGCAGCTGAAAGCCGCAAGCCGAGCCTCATGCCGGGAACTGTAGGCTGCTCCGTCTCCTTTTTTGGTGCTGCTGTGGTCTTGAGCTTGGCAGGCCAATGCGAGCAAGAATGTGGAAGTGCCCGGACCAAATAGGGGTGCAAGGGCGTGACAGAGCTTCGGGGATGATGAGGATCCTGCGCCCTCGCAGCGTGACGAGCCAAGGCTGCACCTCGTGGCCCTGTGCGAGCTTCAGCGGGCCCCGGTGTCGTGAGCTCGGCAACTTTGCAGATGAACCGCTCAGACAGACTCAGACACATCTTTCTACACCAAGTCCTTCACCTCTGAACGACCTGCACGAGTCCAGGCCTGGTTGGGATTTCTCTCTGATTGCCTCTTCAGGCCTTTGATTCTGTCAGGTCAACCTCGAGACTGAATTGTCTCTGAGCCCCTGTGCTGACGCCAATCCGACCCTTGGCATCGATGAGATGTGTGTGGGGCCGATCATTATCTAGCGATTTGCCGGACATAGCAGAAAATGTGCTGTGTCCATGGCAAGAGGTGGCGCTTCTACAGGCGCGTTTTCATGTATGCAGTAGCGGTAGCCATGCCGAATCGGGATCGCTTTCGGATGTCGAGCTAGGCTTTATTTTAGTGAGCCGAAGTCCTTTGGAAATAGAAGCAACACTGCTGCTACAAAATCCTAGGTCCTAGGATATTTGAGGACTTTGTTTTGGCCCCGAAGTGGCCTTATGCTGTGAGATTCGATCGAGACGGTGTTTACGAGTGTGAGCAACTGCGGATAAGGTGCAAACAAGTGCCAAAGCCCGTCAACATGGTGGCAGGAAAGGCGCGTGCGGGCTGTGTTGTTGATCCGTAAAATGTCAATGCAAGAATGCAAGGCCTGCGTGGACGACAGTGGTTTCGTTTTGTTCGATATGGGTGTGTAGGTTGAGCCGGATGAATGAGCAGACGTTTCAAGATTTTGTAGACGGAGCACGAATTCCATTGCTGTATTCCTGCTGTTGCTGTTCGTCTTACTCGTGCCAGTCGTACCATTTGCCACCCATTCAGTTCGTTGCATGCGGAAGCTTCGAGTCTCCTACAAGTGGCGGTCATGCCCAGCATTCCAACCGAGTTCACCTTTGCGCTTGTTGGTTCAGGGGCCATGCCGTGCAGTGCGCCCAAAGGTGCCGGGCAAGCCTCACAGCTGCAGAGATTGAATCCAAAGTAAATCTGGGAGTACGGAGACTGGGCTCACTTTCTTTTAGGTGTGGTGGACCTACCCTGAAGGAGTCTTTCCGTGGCATCTGGGCGGCACTGGTCTGATTTCATGGCGTTGCTGGGATGACGCAAGAGTTGCATATGCCGAGTTCTCCCGGCCCTTCACTTGGATTATGCCTGCTGGACCAAAATGCATGAGTAATCCCGTCCGTTTGCCCCTTGCGCTGAGTTCTGAAACGAAACCCAGATACCCTTGACCCCTCAGATTCCGTGTGTCGAAGGTGGTGAAGGGACTGAAGACGGTGCTGGGAATCGGCAGGTGCTCCAGGTCGGGGTGATGCTGTCTGTTGCACACCACAAGTGCAAGCCCTGGCACCGAGCAGGCCGTAAAGGCTGGGAATGCAGCTCTTCAGAAAGCTCGTGTGTCCTGGCAGTGATTGGAACTTGTAGGTTCAGTGGGGCTATGAATGCGTTTGCCAGCGGATGACCACGGAGGAACCATGTTGCAAGTCTTCTCGTGCCAGGCTATGATGCCTGCTGTGAATGCGAAGCCGCAGTGTTCCATCGCTATCCAGGTCGCGCTCTTTGCCAAAAGAGCAGCGAACCACTGTTTCGCGCTGTGCCTGCCCGAGGCGATTCGCGGTATGCGAAGATGCTGACAGGATGATGGGCCAAGCCGCTCTGTATTGTATTGTTCCGGATGCACGTGGAAGTAAAATCAAGCTCATGGCATCTATTTACAGCAGTCACCTTGCATCAGTCTGTCCGTCTTGCAACATGAACCTTACAGGTTCGATGTGTTCTTAAGCGTACCTGTGTCCAGAGAAGAACACCTTAAGTAATCTTAAGTCTTAGGTTCAGTGTTTGAGAGCTTCGCCAGGAGAGGGAGCTGTGTTTTCGCTTCATTCGGGACTGGGAGAAGCACATATTATGTTCAGCTGCATACCGAGGGAAACGGTTTAGGGGCTCCGGTGCTCGTAAGGTGGCCTCGGTCAGAGCGAAACTCGACACGAATCTGCGTTCGTGCACAAGCCGAGCGCTTTACATGCGTGCATCCAGCCAGAATTCACTGCAACGGGCGAGCCATCTGTGAACGGTGGCTGCTGTGTGCGCTTCGTGGCGCAGATGCGGAGCAGTAGCATTGCTTGCCGCGTCCGGGCGGCACTAACACTAACGCTTGCGAGACCATGCTGCCTGCGCGACTGTCCTTCATTACTGTTGCTAGTTCTCTTACTAAGTTTGCACTTGCGCGTGTGAGGCCGACATACCCTGAGTTTGAGCTTCTAGTTACAGGTTGCCGCGATGGCAAAGTGATCTCCGGGCGGGTACAAGCCTGGCTTGGTGCGGCAGCGTTGCCCGTTCCGTCCCGTCGAAAGCGGTGGCTTCCCGCGAGATGGGCTGCATATGAACATCTTGGATGTTGAAGACCTAGCTCTGTGAATGATATGGCCGTTTCACAAACCGTAACTTGAATGTGCAGCCTTTCGGGTGGAAAGCACGCATCGGGGATCAAGTCTTGGTCACCTGGAAAAGTATCTCCGACGCCGCCTACCCGATGTGAGAAATCACGGCAGTTGCAGCCCAGCTGAACAATGTTTGTTCTGAAGGATCAGGCTGTGTGCTATGCCACGTATCCACGCAGCTCGGTGCCAGATTGATCCCCGCCCGACGAAACACGTGACCGTGCGTTGTATAATGCCATGCAGGATGGCCACTCCAAGTAATGAGATTTCTCAAGAGCACATATATCTGGGTACGAACATGTTGGGCCTCGTAGTTGTTTTTTGTGCAGGCAGTACTACTCGGCTGGGTACATCACCAGTCCGATAGAATTCAGTCGAGCCTTCGCAGACCCATCAAATGATTTCACTTCACGGCTGCTTCTCGTGATCCCATTGATGTTCGCGGGCCAGCTGGAAGGAAACACGTGGGTGATGCGCAGACTCAAGCTTGATCGAGGTAGACCCCCAGTTTCGGCAGCAAACCTGACGACGTTCGGAAAAAGTGTCACCACAACTCGTCTGGCCAACATTTGCTGCGTCGCATTGTAGCCCAACTGGGGGTCCGTAATGGATACAGTCTCCAAGACGGATGAATGTGACGGCCAATACGGCCACTGCCTCGTCAGCTTGTACTTTGATGCAGCGCTGGACCTCGTTGCAAAGGAACAGCTTTGCTGCTTTGCTTGCATGCGATGCCAATGTTTCATCGCATGCAAATGCTTCCTGTGGAGTCTGTCTCTGCCCGATGTGCCTCGCAGATCCCGTTGAGCCGACCATCCCAGAGAGTCCTAAGATCAAGAGGCGTGTCAGGCGAATCACCGCAGCTCCAATCCCAAAAGAGCTGGTGCTAGCAAACGTTCTTTGTCCCATCGGGCGCGAAGCGCTTCACCACAATGCACGGGCGAGTTGGAGGAGGGTCTTGCTTGTCCTCGCTGTCGAGCATGACTTGTGGACCCCAAGCCCTGGCATCTTTCGCAGGAGCCCCATGCCAACTTGCCCTTACAACTCTACCCCGCACAGGGTTCGAGTTGTGTTCCGTTGCTGAGATGCATGACAATTACAGTGATTACAGCCGACCTTCCTGGAGCAGCGATGGCCGAGAAGAGCAGACAAAACAGTAGAATGTATGCATCCACCTCCCAGGCCCTGTGCTCTCTCACCCTTGGAGCTCCAAGTTCAAGGGTGCCAACGAGTCTGCAATCCTTCAGTGCTTCCTGAGCTGACCCACTCAGGCTTGATGACTCCGGCGTTATCTGCTGTGCCGTCGCAGACTCAGACACTGCCTGACTGGGCCGGAAACCTCTGGCAGCTAAGCCTGTGCCGATTCGGGTTAGACTGTTCTACGCAGACCAGCTTTGTCTATCATCCGCTGCTGCAAGCTCTTCTATGAGCGGCATCTTTCAGAAACCGAGCGCGAGCACGCTTGTGTCATAAGACGAAGCTGCAGTCAGCAAGGTCGAGCCCACATCTGGCGGTGAGTTGGGAACTCAAGCCATGTGCTCGCAAGTTTTTAGGTTCTCATTGCAGGATCATGACGGGAGATCGACAAGTCTGCTAAGTCTGCTATGACACCCTCTCAACCTCCAGGGGCCCGCCAGTGGACAAGCTGCTGTGCCGGATCTGCTTGCTGGAGGGGCCCGGAGAGGAGCTATTCATACACTCAGGGCATTGCAGAGGCGTTGTCCTTGGAGAGCTGTTTTTCATGCGAGGACGATCCTCTGATTGCACCGTGTCAGTGCAAGGGCTCTATCGAGCGGCTCTCTCAGACGATTTGTTAGGCTAGTCTTCAGGGTGACTGTTCCACCCATTGACTCGTCTGATTTGAAAGTCGAGCTCGGAATCACACCGTTCTCCCGCTACAAGAGTCACCTCCCACTTCTCTCTCTCGCCCTCCCTTTCTCTTCCTGCCGTCTCCTTTCGCTCTCTCGGTCTGCAGTCGGTATCGCATCTCGGATCCCGCTGAAGGTATGTCCACCTGGGATGCCTCCGGCACTGGATCCGGGGGCGTCTGAATCTCTCCGACCGACCATTGGGCTCGTATTTCTACAGGCTCACTGCAGTGGATACGCGTTGTGGGGATGCAAAGTGCAGCCTCGGCCACGAGGCCCTTGACTTGCGAGCTTTGTAAGTCGGTTTACCCGACCTACATCCACACCAACAGCGCAGGACTCTCAGATCGGCCTGGTTCTTTGCAGTTAATCCACCCATGGAGCACTGAGGGCCAAGAGAGATCGCCGTTGGTTGAAGTGCCATTTACGCAGCCGCCTTTCATAGTTCTGGAGAACATGGTGGGCCGACAAGATTTGCAGAGTGGAGTGAGCCCACAAGCCAAAGGCGGAAGTGAAGCCTGCCAGGTGCGGGATTCCCAGCAGCATACGTCCAGAGGTCTGCATGTGATATCACTTGCGGAGAAGGCCCGAAACTTGCCGTTGAAATTGCAGATTTTCTTCCACCCTCCGCGAGCCGGGTCCCGGTCCTTGCTCGGAGGAGCTCAAGCTTGGCCGCGGCCACGAGAGCGATGTGCGCATTGCGGATGCCTGGATCTCCGGACTCTGCAGAAGTGGCCGGAAAGCAGCTTGCACCAGAGAGGATGCGGAAAGCTGCAGGTCTCAATCTCTCGCACTCATGCAACAATTCGATTCAGCAGAGACCTCAGCACTTTCGTGGAAGCTTGGAACTCGGGTCCGATGTCAAAGCGCTCTTCAGACGTGTCAGACATGTGCCAAAGCCTGTGGTCGCTGAGGCAAGGGCCACTTCCTCTTGCAAGACAGCTCGTCGAAGTTCGGCACACTGGTCGCCATGAAAAAACCCCGGGTGCTGGAGCCAGGCTCTGTGAAATGCGGGGGCCTAGGACTATGGTGACTATGGGGCGGCGCTTAGAGGCGTAAGAAAGTCTACATTCTAATTTGGCTTTGAGCGTATCGCTGAGCCACATGCTACCGGACACATCCTCCAACGCCTTGGCCCACCATCATCTCAAACGTGGACGACCCGCACTTAAATCTACGAAGATCAGTTCTAGCTCGGCCATTCTGACCGAGGGCCAAGCAATGGCCAGTCCTCAGATTTAGAGATCACTGGAGTGTGTACTCGCTTCGTACTGAGGCCATAAAGTGGCATGTGGCCAACCTAAGCGGCTATGATCTCTCAAGCACGTTCTGGCAAGCCTTCTGCTTGACTGCACCTGCCAGGCGTTAACATTTCCATTCAGATGGGCCGGACGGTTCTGACACTGTGTGCGCAGCACGATCCGAACCAGTCAAACTCGGTGATGCCGACTTTAGTTGGAAAGACTGCTACCATCGCATCAAGAAGTGTGATGTGTTTGGTCCCTGCAGCTGCCTGTGTCCGCTGCTTTTGTGGAGATACTGGCTGGCCGTGGTTTCAGCTGAGCCTAATTTCCATGCCAGGCATCTTCTTTGAACCAGCTGCCAGTCGGGGGCAGTGCTCAGGCTGGGATGCCTCTCTCTCTCTGGTCAGAAACCGTCTCACAGCCCCGTGAGGACGAGCGAGCCCTGCGGCTGTCCCTGCTGACCCGCGGACAGAGCGAGGGTGGTCACCACTGCAGGGTAATGCAGGGCACTGCGGGGCACTGCGGGGCACTGCGGGTGTGGCCAGGACAGACGGCTCAGAGTGAGGAGCTTCCCGAAGAGTGAGGCCTGACAGCGCAGGCTTCTGCCTGCCAATAATTATGCTTGGCGTTGCCACCTCAGAGGCCGCGGTCACGGATTTTGCAGCAAACATCTACAAGAAGATATCCTCGCTCAGCGAGCCTCTGAGAGATCAATCGAAAGGAACCCATGTGGCCGAGCACATCGGTACCTTCTCGTGACAAGCATGCACGCAGTCCGCTGCTTGAAGCGGCACTCAGAGTTTCTGCGGCGCTCGAGAACACATACGATTTTGTTTTGCTTTTTGAGCTCGTGTCCTGGCTCGAGACTGCGTGCCATACTTAGGTTTCTATGTCTATCAGAGTCCCCGATCCCTTCCGACAACATGCATGTGTTTGGGGGAGCTTGGGGTTTTCATCAGTTCACCTGCCCTCGCTCAGCCGGAAGCCGGGATCAGCGAGGAGGGCTGCCTCTAAAAGACAGATCCTGAGAAGTGATGAGTGCTGGGAGCTCCGCTGATCCCTGCTTCGCGGGGCTGCTGCTTAGGAAAGCTGCCAAGAAGCCTTGAGGATCTCAGCAATTAGGTGAGTGTTGGGTGTATACTGCGGCAAATGCCCTCCAAGCAATATACCTCGATGGCTTCAGGCACAGTCGGTTTTCTTGAGAGTTGTCCAAATCTGGCCCACGTCACGTGCGAGCCCCTCTGCCCAAAAGGCAGGTTTCCAAGATCGAGGCTGCAGTTTCAGAGGGAGAGGGGTGTTCTCATAAGGTCAAGTCTCTGAATCTGCGTTGGTAGGTCAGCAAAACGTGGAAGGGCTCGCCAAGAACAGTCGCCTAGGTCCTGGGAACAAGGATTCGCAGGAAACTAGCGGACTAAACTGAAGGTGGCTCCTTCTAGAAGGTTTCTCTTGAAGGCCAACCGAATTTACGACCACATGCACACGCGCATGCTTACTCACCTACAGTACATGGCTACATACAAGCAAACATGCGTACACACACATGTGCATACATACATACTTACCTACTTACGTACATAGTACATGCAGCCAGCCACGCAGGCAGGCAGGGAAGGGGCATGTAGGACAGACAGACAGACGGCCAGCCAGACAGACAGACACAGACAGAGACAGAGACGGAGACAGAGAAGGAGACGGAGACTCAGACGGAGACGGAGACAGAGACAGACAGATGGAGGGGCAATCCCTCCACCATGACCCTGGCGAAAGACAGACAGACAGACAGACAGACAGACGGACAGACAGACAGAGACAGACAGAGACAGACAGAGAGAGAGACAGAGAGAGAGACAGACAGAGACAGACAGAGACGACAGACAGAGAGACAGACAGAGAGACAGACAGAGAGACAGACACAGA